CCCCAGAATTCCGCGTCATAAAGCAGTGTTTCAGAGAAGGCTCACAAGCCGCGCACCTTCAGAAAATATCCAGGACACAGGTGCATTGTCCTGGACCCTTACTTCTTCTTTTCGCTTGCGCTCGTTGCGCTCGCACTGCGTGAAATCTGGTGCAGCCTTCCGAAATTATTTTGGACCATGTTTAATATGACCTGCTGTTGGTTTAGCAACGTAAAACATCTCATCATTTAGCGTCGACCGCTCTCCGCAGAAGGCAATGAAGCAAACAACACCTGTGCCATGGACTCCTAAGTCAACATAATCTTTATAGTAAATGAACAGCGAACTCGACTTGGAATATCTTCTTGTCTCCTCCAAATGGTATCATGATGTACCTTAAATCCGAAAAATGTGTCGTTCGCAAGTGACAACTCTGCCGACACTTTTCTGTGCAGTGTGTGGCATGCCCAAGTCACAGATGCCGGGCCTGAGCCAGCGAGAATCCCATCACTCTGTCCCGCGTGCACGAGGTAAAATTTGGTCAAAACGGCAGCTCCCAAGTCTGCCCTATCGCCTGTGCTCAGGTGCTATAGCTTACATCCCTGACACTGGCAAAGTGGCGACGCTTACTCAGTCTGTTGCAAGAACCACAGTGCGCGTTTGGCGTCCGTCTCTGTCCCGGCCTTGTCCTCTATGAGCGCACGCTGGGGAAGAGACGTTTTTCTGTTCTATCTTGCGGATTCCTACGGTACACTCTCCCGCTGATAGTCATTAATGGGGCTTCAGCGATGCACAGATACCTGCGGGCCTCATGCAAAATGTTTTTGCGGCGGCGCTGCTTGGACGTGAACGAGCGTAGTTTGTGATTAAGGTGTTTGCGCTGCGGTGGGACATATCTGAAATGGACGCTGGTGGTAGCATGAAATGCGAGAGAAATGTTCCATCCCAAGCCTATTTTTAACTACGTAGTCCTGCGTGACTTCATTACTTAAACCCATCAACTCACCCCACTCGAACCGGTTCCGACCACGTCAGGTAACGCACGCGGTGCGAAGAAGTGCGTGCTTTTGCACGCCTGCATACCATGAACCGCTATTCTTGTGTAAATCCTTGGCACGTGGTGCTATGGGCAGGAGGCGCTCCGGACGGCGGCGGCGGTGTTGGCGGCCGCGTGTCCTGCTGGCAGCCCTCTTCCTTGGCACGCCCAGCCCTCGCCTGCAACGAGGCCGTGTGCGCCAGCATCGCCTCCAAGTGTATGCTGACCGGCAGCTGCAAGTGCGACATGACAAACCTCACCCAACTGCAACCTGCTGCAAGGAATGCGCTCAATGCCTGGACGAGCTGTACGAAGAGTGCTGCTATTGCTTCAGTGAGTATCGTGCGTCGTGGCCGTACCCGTCATGGCTTTTAGGTTTAGCTCACGTGTTTAATTCGTTTTCACGCTATGGAGCGCTCTCCAACACAATGGCGATGGGACTTAGTCTCGTTGGGGCAGTAGCGCCTGGTGGTCACTACCCGCTTTTAACAAAATTGCTTTGCGCGTTGCTCATGTTACATACCATTACGTTAAGTATGGAGACTTCAATGCAACAGTTAAGACGTAACATGAATCTCCAGACTGCAATTTCAACACAAGAGGGTAGCACTACGCGCATTAACGGCACTTCGCAGCACGCACGCTCGTCCGCTCGTCCGCGCTCTGAATCCACTGATGCGACCAGATTAAATAACTGTGCGAGAAGTCGCCGGTAGTGACCCTGTGACCTTTACCCTGACCTGACCGTGAATTCTGCGGATGGAGTGCACGTGCTCTAACCCTCCTCGTACACACGTTTGTTTCTTTACCTTGGCTCTACAAGCTGGCCTCAGAGGAGGTGCGCAGTTCCCAGTTCAGTTGAAGGAGCAGGCGCTTAAGCGCCCCCGCCCCTCCGCGTCATCCAGTACCTCAAGTTTGATATGAAAATGGGCCAAATTCATGGAAACACCCACCTTTTGCCTACCTTGTGAGTAGGCTTTTTTGGTTCTCTGCCTCAGAGTCCCCCGAAATTTCGAGAACTAAGCAGGCTGGGGCCCAGAAGGAACGGCATCGAAAAAATCACGTCAAGTGGTAGAAGAAATACGTCATTTTGAAACAGCAAATGTGGCCTCCACCAGCTTAAATTAGGTCATAAGGGGCAGCCAAGAACTTTATAATAGACTCATGTTGCGGAAATGCGGCAAACGGCGTTGATAACTCTAAGAAAACTATCAGACAGACACCAGCTTCCATCGACAGTTGAGTCTGTTATAAGGTGCTGTCATGCCAGGTCAAAGGGGTGAAGGCCATTGTTTCACTGGTCCGTCCGGTTCCATGAAGAAGTTACCGAACCACATCATTGGTACAAACAGCGTCGGCAATTTTTTAAGCTTTAAGATGCTTGCAGTTAAGGTTCAAATAGGCTCAACATTTGACCTTTAAGAGATCAAATCTGGTCATAAATGTCAAGATGGACCGAGCCTGACTTTGGATGGCCTAAACTGCGAAAACGGTAAGAACGGTAGTAATGCACCTCAAAAATATAAAGTTAGGAATTTTTGAAGGGCATTTCCTGCGATGAGTACGCTTGATTTGTCACGTTTCAACAAAACGTTACGGATATGACCACGGAGACGGAGGTGACATGTCATTTACCGTCATGGTCAGAAGCTTAAAATCTTTACATGTGTAACTATGATTTAACTTCCTTGGAGGACTTAACTCAGCCCATGAAGCCCGTAGGGCGTTGGAATCAGTTTGCGGTAACCACGAATCCAGGATTTTCTCAGGGGAGGGGGCTAGTTTGTGAGAGAGCCTTAGTCAACTCGGCCAGTCCCACAGCTTTACATTAAGTCCCAAAATATTTTTTTTAATTTTATTTTTAGGTTAAGCTCTCTCTTCTTTATACCGGAATTTCATTTCAGACTAGTGTAGGCCTCTTTGCCGATCTAAGGCCCTTGATCC